TGTCCCAAAACATGTAAAACTGATTAATGGCAAAGCAACAGCTTGGACCCAGGGATTGTTGCCTGCAGCACTGTACTGTTATGTAGTCCCTAGAACCCCGACTCGGACCTATGTCCATGGCAGGGCCTCTGCCCTGTGGGTTCGGTCAGATGGTGAGCCACCACGTCCCAAACACTAAGAAGAAATGCGCTATACTTCATTAGCGGCAGAGGTTCCTAGCATTTCATGCACAGCTACTCGAATGTATTATTCCAACATGATAATGAAATACTTTGGAAAAGTTATGAACAGGACTAAAGGGGAAATGTATTTACAAGCTACCAGAGAGATCTGGGACACTAAAATAAAAGGCAATGTAGAGAAAGAGTTGTCTGAGTACTTCATCAGTCCTGAGCAGGGCTAGAGCCACTTAGGAAATAGAAGTGAAGCTACTTTGGAAATGTCAAGATTCTCTGGAAAGGAATCAAGGTCTCATCCTTCAACCTTCACAAGAGGTCTGTCTTAGCTCATGGGAGCAGGAAGTGGGAATAAAGCCACATTGCACCCCAATCATTCATACTGGGTTTTCCAATCCTAAATCTTTAGGACCAGTGCTTCAAACTGTAAAGCTTCCTTGATTGTGTTACCAACTTTTCAAAACCTCAGAATTGCTTCAAGAGGGAAAACATTTCTTACAAATAGAACATAATTTAAAATAGCATATTAAGAAAAGGGCATTTTGGATGGGTATTCCTTGAGGTTAATTCACTTGGTTTTGAAGAACAAAAGTGATATACACAATTTTTTTAAAACAATTTTGTTCTTTATTAATAAAACAGGTCTGTTTCCTGTTCCTACATGGCAGTTTCATATCCTAGTCATGTACAACAACTTAAAATTATTCAAATTGTTTAAAATGCAAAGACAAGGTCAGTAGAGAGAAAAGCTCTGTCTGGGTGACTCCTCAATGTTCAGGTTTTAACCTGATTGAAGAAAGTTATTCTGGGGATTTGTCAAATTTACACCTTCAGTCACCTGACCGGATGCTTTAGGGTCAAATGTACAGCTTGAATTACTTTTGCTTAAGCAAGGAGTCAAAATTCTTGATAAGGATCTATCATGGCAATTATAAGATAACATGATATATGGTAATAGGCTGCAAAATGAAACTTATTTGAATACGATTAAATTCAAGCCTGGTATTGGGTAGTTCTAGGTAATTAGGGATAATTTCTCTACTCAAGTCCCCTCTGTTAAAGTGTACACTGACACACATTTGTTCTATGTCTTGTTAGATAAATATAGAAACCAAATTAGAAGGAGTTCTGCAGATTTCTGAGAATTTAATTATACCCTGAAATTGTAATACCAATGACATACACAGTTAAACTTCTGTACTGAATAATTATCTGAATTAACTTCATTTTACAATGCTTAATTTATTTTGTACTAAGGAAGACTTTAAACTATTTAAGAGAAATCAACTTAATTTAGATTTTTTACTTGTGTCAACGTGTTTCAATTCATTAGTGTTTCAATAACAAGAAATGAACTCTCCTGTCTTGACAAACCAAGTGTAGAAATCTCCTCATAAGAGAAAAGAAATTAAAATGATTTCCACATTCAAGTCGCAGCACGCTGAACAGAGAATTTTTGGTTCTTAGGAAAGCCACTTGGTACTTCCAAAGGAGGGCCACTCATGACAATTTTGTGGAATTAGAGGAAACCAGGAATGGCGACGCTGTGATCCCAGGCCATTCTCTCGGGGAGAGACGTCTCCTTCCCTTCTGTATTCTGCCCACATCAAGCTCCTCCTGAAATCAAAGGCCACTGATGCACATAAAATCCACACTAAAAGTCAAACATGACACTGAAAGCAAACAATTACACTATAATTCCACTGTTGTCCCTAAGATATATTTTGAGATATTTCACTCAGAAATAAACTATATTCTCCAAAAATCAAAATACACATGGCTTCTATGATTCTTGCTTTTCATAAAACGAACTACACTTCCACACTTCCTTAGTATTAAAGTAAGTGAACATAAGAAGGGCAGCCCTTACTCCCTCCC